AAAAAAAAAAAAAAAAAAAAAAAAAAAACAGAATTAAAGAGTATATTTTTTTAAGGAATAAAAAAACCAAAAACAAAAAAAGAATTTTTTGATCAGTACTTTCCGGGGTACTGCCGAGAATGCCCAAAAAAACATGGGTGGCGGGAACACCGACATTTTTCCCCAACCCATTACTTTTTTTACGTTTTTTTTTAGTTTTTTTTTCTTTTCAATTTTTTCTTTTCCTATTTTAAAATTGCGGCCTGAGAACCATACAGTAATAAGATAAAAAAAATCACTGTATTGAACACAAAACCCCACAAAGTTATTATCATATTATTGTTTTACCCCCCTTTTTTTATTACAAAAACAGCCAAAATTTTTAAAATACAATGTTTTATCATATTTTACATATTCAAACAGGAAAATCTTTTTGAACTGCTGGAGCTTGGCACCCTTGAAAAAGGCACCCGCACAGAGTCCTTACATTTCCTCGCACAAAACCGAGTTCTTTGCGCTTTGTTTCCGTCGTTTTGTTTGTGCATAGACTGCATCCTTCTGACAAATTTCTTTTTAGTTGCAGGAAGCGTATTATGAAGTGATCACCTTTCCCTCCTCAAACGCTTGGTATATCCTGAGGGGTTCGAGGACGGTTTTTATAGCAGTGTTTTCCCCGGTATTTCACTGAGATTGTCTGACAACAAACAAAAAATTTACCATACGGTGGTCTGTTTTCCCTCTTTTACTTGGTACATATTTTAAAGCATTGAGCATTTAAATGTCCAGAATGGGAAAAAAAGTTTCATGTACCACTTGAACCTTACAACACAATAACAAAAACCCAAACTGCATGCCCATTTGTCAACCAACACTTTTTTGTTAAATCAATTACTTTATTGGTTTTCGAATATGTTCATTTGTTATTCTATCAACTTCCACTGCTTGCATTTCGTTACGGTTTTAAAGATTTTCAACAAATTTACAACTTTTTTGTCAGCCACCATATGCCAAGAGTCATTTTACGTGAACACCGACCTCATCACCACAAGCACCTTTCGTTGAACTGGCATAATTTTTTGATTAGAACACACTGTGCCACACAAAATCTGTCTTTCCACTCGCAAAAATCACTGATAAAGGGGTTGTGTACCCGTTATCTTTAAATAAGTATCCCCTTACCAAAATAAGGGCCATCATGCTTTTTCCTACGTCAACGAATATCCCAAAAACATCCGGTATCTTTCAAGGTTTTACTTCCCGGTTATACAACAACATCAATACCAGGGGCCACTGTCCCATTCATAATACAAACAGTTTTAAAACCAAAGCACTTCCTCTTGCCAGTATATACTGTTTGAATGACAGCTACCTTTTAACAAATCAAAGATTTGTCAAGTACAAAATTCTTGAATGAATAAAAATACATGTTGAACTTTTCTTTCAGATACATAAAAAAATTTTTTAATCTTGTATAACCTGTTTACTTCTGTCAGGCCCGGTTTTTTCAGAGAAGTGCAAATACGAATAGTAAGAAAACCTGTTCACGGGGTGATTTCACTGAAACCCGGGTAAAATTAGCCGATCTGTGGGCCAGTGTGCTTTTTTTTAAATTTTGCTTATAGACATGAGGCATAAGCTTATTTTGCAAAAAGCAAAAACATTTCTGCAACAGCATCTCTTTCCACCGGGTTCTTGACTGGGTGATAAATCGTATTTGCCATGGGGTACTCAAAATACTTTTTCTTTTTCCCTGACAAAGTTTCCATCAAGGGCTGGTCAAAAAATAGTTCAAAAAATTTCCGTTCTTGGCATAGTTCCCAAGGGGACAATAGGGAGAATTCCACTTTTAGAGTCACAAAGTGGGGGGGCTTGGGAAAAATTGGATTTTTCTGCCAAACCCAATACGGTTTTTTGGGGGATCTGGACAAACATAGCTGGTTGTGCGGTATTGTGGTGGGGTGGTGGGTGACGCCCGCTTTGGCCTTGAAAAATGAGGAGTCAGCCGTGGGGCCCAGCCTGGGGTGGTTTAGTCACCATGGCCGTGGGACTACCATCCCACTACCACCACCCACTGATGCCCGTGGGTATCCCCAAGTTAGCCACATCAACCTCACTTTTTACTGTCATTCCGATGTAGGGGCCCGGGTACCTGGGATGTACTCCGGGTTTTTTTCCCCTCCCTGGGTACGCATAGGGGGAAAACTACCCCGGGGCATGCGGGGGCGATAACCCCACGCTTTACTGGTGAATTTTCCCTCACTATTACTACTCGAAAAATCGTCAAAAGCAAAAAACACAATCCCGTCACTATCCATCATTACGAAATCAAGGCCTGGGCCCCGGAAAAAAAATAGTTACCTCTTTCGATGAGGACAACGACCAGACTGAGGATGCCCACACCAAGGTTGAGGATCAACAGGGGTTTTTTCACAATTATGAATCCTGGTCATTCTTTCGGTCACTAAACGATCAAAGCCAAAGAATTCGTCTTCATTCCACTTCCTCAGAGTCAAACTATAGATAGGAAAGGAAAATCCCAATTTTTCCCTTGGGTGAGAGCGCCTTGCGACAGGGGATGGGGAACAAAGGTAACCGAGCCGGGGTTCCCAAACAAAACGACCCTAAATTTTTTTTTTTTAAGGCGCACACACAAAAACGCAGACCCATTCTCTCACGTAGGCCTACGAGCATTTTGCGCTAAATTTGATGCCGCTAAATTTTTGGGGTAATCAACAGTTTGGACCCGAACTAAAGCCATAGATCTATGCACGGACCTGAAAGGGGTTAAAACCCCTCGCTTTTTCACTTTTTTTTTCCACAGGGAAATTTTTCTAGAAACTTTTTTTTCGGGCCCGCTTACTTTTTCACAGTTGCATTAATAAATAACAAACAAAAACACTGATGTAATTTCAAAAAGTTTGATAATGACAGAAGCTTCCCCCGGCCAGCAACACAGCTACACTGACTCGGAAAGCACGAGTGTCACTGGCCGAAAACTCCAATACAGCCCAAATTTTGAAATAACAGCCGATAAATGGAACCAAAAACCCCCCCGATCAAAAAGGTCGATAAGCGAATGGCCGATAATCGAGGTTCCCCTGTATTCACTTCAAAACCTTTATTAAAAAAGTTTTTCCTTGGACCCTGGTGCTTCAAATACATGAAGTACGAATTTTAGGGATTCGACCCCGGGCTGAAATTATTCAAAAAGGTCCTAAGTGAATGCATTCCTGTCAATTTTCCTTAAGTTATAGACAGTCAATCGCCTTCTTACTACAGTTAGTAAACACTTTAGTGAACAATTCTATTTTTTTTTTTACCTTAAAGCCATGATAAAGCATAGAAAATATTTTAATTCAGTGAATGCTTTAAGAATATTATAAAATTTCTCTCCCAAATACAATACAGTGGACCCTCGGCTAACGATAATAATCCATTCCTGAGAGCTCATCATTAAATGAAATTATCATTAGCTGAATTAATTTTCCTCATAAGAAATAATGGAAATCCAATTAATCCGTTCCAGACAGCCAAAAGTATTAAAAAAAATAATTTTTTTTTCACGAAATATACATTTCCCTACAATGAAAACAATGAGACATGCACAATAATTAAATAAATAAATGTTAAAATGACACTTACCTTTATTGAAGAGTACTGATGAGTGATGAGACTGTTTTTCTTGAACACTCTGGGATTTTCAGAGTGATACATGAGTAAAGTCTTCACTTTGCAATCCCCACTAGCATTACAACAAAACAAGAAAGTTAGCCTGTCTTTCATAGGCTTTTATCCTGGGAGTGCCTTTTCCTCCTGAGTAATGTAGGTCCTGTTTGGCATTTCCTTCCAGAACAGGCCTGTTTCGTCACAATTGGGGTTGGAATTTTTCAGCTTCGCCATGCCTTATCACACTGTGTATGCCAATACGATTCTTAAATCTCTCAAAACAACCTTTGCTGGCCTTAAATTCACCAATATGAGCACTAGTTCCAGGCATTTTTTCCTGTTCACCTGGGTGTTAGTCGACTGGTGTGGGTCGCATCCTGGGGGACAAGATTAAGGACCCCCATGGAAATAAGTCAGACAGTCCTTGATGACTCACTGACTTTCTTGAGGTATCCTGGGTGGCTAACCCTCTGGGGTTAATTGTTTCTCGGTAATTGTTTCTTATTAAGCCACACCAACAACGGTCTCTCCATATCTTCGAGTAGTACAGCTGACGGTGGTGCAGCAACAGCTGACAGTGGTGCAGCAACAGCTGACGGTGGTGCAGCAACAGCTGACGGTGGTGCAGCAGCAGCTGACCATGGTAAGATATAGTATTTCTCACCCTTTTTACCACAGGGTTGGCACTAGAAGCTTTCTTTGGCCCCATGGTGGTTTATTTAGCAGTTACAAGCACTATAAAGAATGGAATAATACAAAATGTATCGAATGTATGCATGAAACCAGCCACCCTGCTTGTAAACAATGACGGCAGGGCAGCTGAGGCACTCAGGCTGGACGGACAGGTTTGGAATGAATCATGTTGGGCGAGTTTATTATCTTTAGCCAGGCCAAAATTTTTACGCTCAAAAGCTTCGTTGGGCGGATTTAATGTTATGCGATGCGTTCGTTAGCCGAGGGTCCACTGTACTTCAATACAGTACATTTATACCAAAGACCTCTTGGGAAAATGTAAAATACACCGAGGCTCCTGCTAAATATCCGGTGTTTTCCTCTTAAAGTTTCTGATACAGAAGAGCTTTCAATATGAACAGGTTATCATCCAACAGAAGAATATTGCCATTTCATGTAATAGGAGAATATTGCTAATGTAAGAACAATTTTAACTTTAACTGTCCAACAAGTTTTAATGCTTCTGGGTAATGAGAGACTAGGAACAACAGCATATAGACATGCAAATATGTGGGAACTTGTACATTTCTTTATATTTCAGAAATTTTCCAAACGAAATCACTGGAGGGTTGAGCTGTACATAGATGCACCATCACACAGTCAATGCCTTCATCATCTCTTACCTTCAGTTGTTGGTTCTCTGTAGAAAGAGCTGCAATCTCTTCTCCATGGCAGACAGAGATGCTTTCCACCTCTTGCTTATGTCGCTGCACCTCCTCCTCCATGTGAACCTTCATCTCCTCAATGAGATTCCGCCGACTCTCAGCCAACTAAATAATGGAAAGCAGATATTAAATGACAGGCATTAAATTACTACTGAATATGCTAGCGTCATTAAAAGAAAAAAAAAAAAGCTCTCATCACAGAATCCTGAAAACAATTACATATTCTACTCTTATATCTTCCATAATCACTCTCTGTTCTACTAAATTATCTTTAGTTGCCACTTGTCTTCAGTCACCCATCACTATATACTGTGCACTGGAGAGATGTGTAGAAGTAAGACAACAGATCCTTAGCACCGATCTGACAGTGGTTACTTATTCAGTGAGTAAGTTATAACATTATATTAAAACCTATGTCAGGAGTCATTTTCCTTGACAAAGAAAAAGCACCATTACTTAGCTCACAGGTATAAACATTATTTAGTTTCATACATCATACAATAGGTGCTCAATAGCATTTAAAAAGTTTTTCTGACTACACAAAGAAAATCAACTGAAGGTGGAACTGTAATATATTGTATTTACAAATAGTATTCAAATCCAGAAAAAAAAACAAGAACCATACAGAAAAAAAGTAAAGTGAATAGAATACTACTTGGAAAACTGGAAAACTAAATTAAAAGAGCATAAAAGTATAATTGTCGCCGTTGCCCAGCGGTGAGAGGAGCGACTCACTGCTGAGGTCCAGGGAATAAACCCTGGACTTTAATATAAAAAACTTTTATAGGTAGTAGGTTGGTAGACAGCAACCACCCAGGGAGGTACTGCCATTCTGCCAAGTGAGTGAAAAACGAAAGCCTGTAACTGTTTTACATGATGGAAGGATTGCTGGTTTCTTTTGTCTGTCTCATAAATATGCAAGATTACAGTTACGTCTTCCTACTTCTACTTACACTTAGGTCACACTACACGTTTATTTATACACACTCATCTGAGTTTTCTTTGATTTTATCTTAGTTCTTGTTCTAATTACTTTTCATTTTATATCCATGGGGAAGTGGAATAAGAATCTTTCCTCCGTAAGCCATACATGTTGAAAAAGTCAACTAAAATGCCGGGAACAATGGGCTAGTAACCCCTTTTCCTGTAATAATTACTAAAAAGAAGAAGAAGAAGAAAATTGTCAAAGTGGGAATTCTGAATGTGCATGGATGTTGTGCAAATGATAAGAAAGAGATGATTGTGGATGTTATGAATGAGAAGAAGCTGGATGTCCTGGCTTTAAGTGAAACAAAGCTGAAGGGGATAGGTGAGTTTCAGTGGAGAGGAATAAATGGGATTAGGTCAGGGGTTTCTAACAGAGCTAAAGAAGGAGTAGCAATAATGTTGAAGGATAAGCTATGGCAGGAAAAGAGGGACTATAAATGTATTAATTCAAGGATTATGTGGAGTAAAATAAAGGTTGGATATGAGAAATGGGTTATAGTAAGCGTATATGCACCTGGGTAAGAGAGAAGTATAGAGGAGAGAGAGAGATTTTGGGAAATGTTGAGTGAATGCGCGGGAAGTTTTGAACCAAGTGTGAGAGTACTTGTGGTTGGGGATTTTAATGCTGAAGTGGGTAAAAATGTTGTGGAGGGAGTAGTAGGTAAATTTGGGGTGCAAGGGGTAAATGAAAATGGGGAGCCTTTAATTGAGCTGTGTGTAGAAAGAGGTTTGGTAATAAGTAATACATATTTTACGAAAAAGAGGATAAATAAATAAACAAGGTATGATGTAACACATAATGAAAGCAGTTTGTTACATTATGTGTTGGTGGATAAAAGGTTGATGGGTAGGCTCCAGGATGTACACATTTATAGAGGGGCAACTGATATATTGGATCATTATCTAGTTGTAGCTACAGTTAGAGTAAGAGGAATATGGCAACATGAAGTAAGAGGGAGGTGAAAGTGTATAAACTAAGGGAGGAGGAAATTCAGGTGAAATATAAGCAACTATTGGCAGAAAGGTGGGCTGGTGCAGGTATGAGTAGTGGGGGATGGGGTTGAAGAGGGTTGGAATAGTTTTAAAAATGCAGTAGTAGAATGTGGGGTAGAAGTTTGTGGTTATAGGAGGCTGGGTGCAGGAGGAAAGAGGAGTGATTGGTGGAATGATGAAGTAAAGGGTGTGATAAAAGAGAAAAAGGTAAATGCTAGGGTGTTCAGGAAAGGGGTGGGATTAAATTATGGGGAATCAAATTCAAAATGGGAATTGACACAGTTACTTTTTGCTGATGATACTGTGCTTATGGGAGATTCTAAAGAAAAATTGCAAAGGTTAGCGGACGAATTTGGGAGTGTGTGTAAAGGTAGAAAGTTGAAAGTGAACATAGAAAAGAGTAAGGTGATGAGAGTATCAAATGATTTAGATAAAGAAAAAATGGATATCAAATTGGGGAGGAGGAGTATGGAAGAAGTGAATGTTTTCAGATATTTGGGAGTTGATGTGTCAGGAGATGGATTTATGAAGGATGAGGTTAATCATAGAATTGATAAAGGAAAAAAGGTGAGTGGTGCATTGTGGTATATGTGGAGGCAAAAAATGTTATCTATGGAGGCAAAGAAGGGAATGTATGAAAGTATAGTAGTACCAACACTCTTATATGGGTGTGAAGCTTGGGTTGTAAATGCTGCAACGAGGAGGCGGTTGGAGGCAGTGGAGATGTCCTGTCTAAGGGCAATGTGTGGTGTAAATTATTTTTTTATTTATTATCACACTGGCCAATTCCCACCAAGGCAGGGTGGCCCGAAAAAGAAAAACTTTCACCATCATTCACTCCATCACTGTCTTGCCAGAAGGGTGCTTTACACTACAGTTTTTAAACTGCAACATTAACACCCCTCCTTCAGAGTGCAGGCACTGTACTTCCCATCTCCAGGACTCAAGTCCGGCCTGCCGGTTTCCCTGAACCCCTTCATAAATGTTACTTTGCTCACACTCCAACAGCACGTCAAGTATTAAAAACCATTTGTCTCCATTCACTCCTATCAAACACGCTCACGCATGCCTGCTGGAAGTCCAAGCCCCTCGCACACAAAACCTCCTTTACCCCCTCCCTCCAACGTTTCCTAGGCCGACCCCTACCCCGCCTTCCTTCCACTACAGACTGATACACTCTTGAAGTTATTCTGTTTCGCTCCATTCTCTCCACATGTCCGAACCACCTCAAACAACCTTCCTCAGCCCTCTGGACAACAGTTTTTTGGCAATCCCGCACCTCCTCCTAACTTCCAAACTACGAATTCTCTGCATTATATTCACACCACACACTGCTCTCAGACATGACATCTCCACTGCCTCCAGCCTTCTCCTCGCTGCAACATTCATCACCCATGCTTCACACCCATATAAGAGCGTTGGTAAAACTATACTCTCATACATTCCCCTCTTTGCCTCCAAGGACAAAGTTCTTTGTCTCCACAGACTCCTAAGTGCACCACTCACCCTTTTCCCCTCATCAATTCTATGATTCACCTCATCTTTCATAGACCCATCCGCTGACACGTCCACTCCCAAATATCTGAATACATTCACCTCCTCCATACTCTCTCCCTCCAATCTGATATCCAATCTTTCATCACCTAATCTTTTTGTTATCCTCATAACCTTGGTGTAAATATTATGCAGAAAATTCGGAGTGTGGAAATTAGGAGGTGTGGAGTTCATAAAAGTATTACTCAGAGGGCTGAAGAGGGCTTGTTGAGCTGGTTTGGTCATTTAGAGAGAATGGATCAAAGTAGAATGACATGGAGAGCGTATAAATCTGTAGGGGAAGGAAGGCGGGGTAGGGGTCGTTCTCGAAAAGGTTGGAGGGAGGGGGTAAAGGAGGTGTTGTGGGGGACGGGTTTGGACTTCCAGCAAGCGTGCGTGAGCATGTTCGATAGGAGTGAATGGAGACAAATGATATTTGAGACCTGATGAACTGTTGGAGTGTGAGCAGGGTAATATTTAGTGAAGGGATTCAGGGAAACCGGTTGTTTTATATAACTGGACTTGAGTGTTGGAAATGGGAAGCACAATGCCTGCACTCTAAAGGAGGGGTTTAAGATATTGGCAGTTCGGAGGGATATATTGTGTCTTTTTATACGTATATACTTCTAAACTGTTGTATTTTGGGCACCTCTGGAAAAACAGTGATTATGTGTGAGTGAGGTGAAAGTGTTGAATGATGAAAGTATTTTCTTTTTGGGGATTTTCTTTCTTTTCGGGTCACCCTGCCTCGGTGGGAGACGGCCGACTTGTTAAAAAAAAAAAAAGTACTACAGAAAATGAAGTTCTCTAGAGGAAGAACTAATTGAAAAAAAAAAATACATTTTTACATAGAGAGCAAAAAAGTGTTAACCCTTTGACTGTTGCGGCCGTATATATACGTCTTATGTCCTGGTGTCGCAAAATTTAAAAAAAAAAAAAAAAATATTTTTTCTTATGAAATGATAGAGAATCTTTTCCCGATTGTAATGACACCAAAAAAATCGAAATTTGATGGAAAACTGACGGAATTATGCTCTCGCGAAGTTAGCAACCTCGGCGCCATTTACAAATCAGCGATTTCGCCCGCTTTGAGCCCTATTTTTGGCTAATTCCATTGTTCCAGTCGCCCAAACTCATAGCTATTTCTTTAGAACTCCATTTTTTCTATCGATTGAGTACAAGAAACTGCCCATTTACCGATTTCAACTACCTAATAATGTGGTCAGAAATTTGCAATTTGGCCAATTTCACGAAAACTAAAAAATATGACAATTTCAAATAAGGTCCAGAATGAACAATGCAGACATTCCTGGCTCTAAAATAACATTTTCTTTGCTCATCAGTCGTGTTTCCAGGCCCCTCTGATATTACTCTTGCTTTCTATTTTGAATTTTTATTCAAACAAAAAATTGAAGACTTACTATTATGCAGACTACTGCAATACTGTAATAATTGTATAAATAACATCAACCCATCATGACTGCATATTAGAATGGCTAGTTGGACATTTACTGGAAAATGGCATCATTTGCTTACTTTGAACATTGGCAAAAATCAAACATTTCCCCTACTTTGAGCTCCATTTCTAGGTTCTTTTATAGTAAAAATCAATCAAAATCATCTCTATTTCTATAATAGTCTTCCATTCTATCAAATGAGACCAAGAAAACGAGAATACAACCATAAATACTATACGAAAATAGACCACAAAGTCGGCATTTAATTAAAAAAAAACGGTCGGAGTTTTTTTTTCTCATTATGCACTGCGTGCTCCAGGATTTTTTTTATATGGTGCACACTGACCACACAGACCCATTCTCTCACATGTAGGCCTACCAGCTTTCTCCTGCTTGATTTGAAGCCGCTAGAATTTATGAGTATATATACGTCAAACACGGTACCTCGTAAGACGTATATATACGGCCGCGACAGTCAAAGGGTTAATAGAAGCCATCTTCAAAGGATTGCATTAATTTTCATTGATAAAACAAAGATTCAAGACAAGACAAGCATGTCAACTGTGTGACAAAACAAAAATTCTCTACAAGCCTCATCAAACCTGTTGAGGTGCCATCTCTTACCACCCTCCATTTAGGTTCTTAACAGTGAAGTAAACTAATATTACAACATCACCACACTCATCCCAAGAACTGCGTTACCTTTGTTTGGTCTCCAAGTTGTATTTGTAGTGAATCTAATTTAATGGTAAGCTCAGCAACTTCTTGTTGAAGCTCTCCTTTCTCTCTTTCAAAAGCATCTTTCTGTTCTATCAAGTGTGTAATTTCATTTGTTAGCTGCTGCACTTTCTCTTGTATTTCTGAAAATTTTCAATACAATTATTCATCATTCTTAGCATTTTACTAAACAAGTTCTTATAAATAGCAAATGTTGACAATTTAGGTATACAGAAGGGCTCCACTTACATGACAAGTTAGGTTCCAGGCTACTGCCATAAAGTGGAACACCATTTTTTTTTTCACTTATAAATGCATATAAATGCCAGATAACAAACCATACCAAGGGTGGAATTAGAACCCACGATCAGAGTCTCAAAACTCCAGACCGACGCATTAGCTACTGGCCAGCTAGTTTCAATAAGATTCATCCAACTAGGTATATTTCTACACCATAGTAAAGTTAACATAGGCACCACTGTGACCACAAATGCAAGTTTTTACAGACGAATCTCTCGCTAGCATGGCTGTGACAAACTCTAGCTCAAGTCCCCTCAAAGCCATCAACATGACTCACAAAATCATAATGACAACAATTGCAAATAAACTATACCACGGGTGGGATTAGAACCCGTGATCAAGGTCTCAAAACAGCCATGCTAGCGGAGATTCGTCTGTAAAAACTCGCATTTGTGGTCACAGTGGTGCCTATGCTAACTTTCCTTTGGTGTAGAAATGTACCAAGTTGGATAAATCTTATTGAAGCTAGCTGGCCCAGTGGCTAACGTGAAGGTCTGGAGTTCTGAGACTCTCTGATCGCGGGTTCTAATCCCACCCGTGGTATGGCTTATTTGCAATCATGTCATTACAATTTCATGAGTCATGCCAGATAACAAGTTTACACTAACATATATTAAGTCAGCAATCGAATCGAATCGAATCGAGGACGACGAGAGCTGTCATAAGATGGGAAGGAAGAAGGATAAGTAAGGATGGAAATAACTGGAAAAGGATGGGAAGGAGGGGAAGAGGAGGAATCAAGGTAAGTGGCCCAACCACTTTGGGACATGTGTTACTGAAGTACTGGAGGCGTAGATGGAGATGTATTTCAGAAATACTGACGAAGACGATGTAGAAGGCAACAGGAACTCAGCAGGTGCTGGCTGCATCTTGCTGGATGGATGATTACTGCAACTTGAATGATGATAGGCAGCTGCAGGCGATATGGAAGGAGCTCATCGTTGATTGGTCAGTTCATAGAGGTTTGGTGTTTACCTGGAGTCATGGCGTTGTTTTACGATTCAGTTCCGTTTTCAAGACATTTAAAACGTTGTAGAGGGAGCAAATTTATACGTGTCAGCAAGTGTTTTTGGCTGGAATCTTCTAGTTGGTCTACAATGGCCTTTAGAATAGTAGAAAGTTCAATTGTATGAAGAGTTCCAGCTGAGCAGGAAGAATCGATGGTAAACTTGACTTTCTTCTCGATGAGGTGAGAATAAAGTTCATGAAGCGGCATGTCTTGATGATATTTTTCTGTAGTGTAGAAGTTGATTCCAGTCCATGAAGTATATTTTTTAATATCTTCATCTTTATCATGTCGAGAGTTGTGAGATGATGATTTTTTTGCTGTTTTTTCTTTCTTGTTAGGTATTGTTGAAGGAGGAAGTGAATATTCATTGTCATTTTCAGTAGACGAATAGGAAAATGTTTCTGGTGACAAGGCTTCTGATTGGTCGGTTTCAATGAGGAGTGGTGGCGGTGAAGGCTTCTCATTGGGCGTTGTTGGAGTGACGTCACTAGTTGATGGTGGTGTTGGATCTGCTACATCCGAGGTTGTGACTAAGTCTTTGGTGAATTTGAGAATTTCTTCAGAAGGTGGCGATGCTGGAAATGTGAATGATGGCATGTTATTTAATGCAAATAACTCGTTGATGGTAGAGTTAAAAGATCCAGGTACAGCCATGTTCTGCATGTGAGCGTATAGTAGACAATAGTGGATCTTCGCTATGTCACATGTTGGAGGAGTGATGGTGGTGGAGGCGGGCTGAGTAGTTGCTTGAAGTAATTTTGTAGTGTCTGCTTGCAACTTTGCAATTGCGGCATACGTTGGTGTGTTGTTGGTAGATTTTTTCTTTGTTGCATCTTGTTGTTTCTTCATAATATCCTTTCTTGTAGGACATTTTGCTGCCAATGTATGATGATCATTACTTTTGCAGTTTAAACATGCTGGTTGTGTTGGAGCAGCAGCGGTACAGGAACTGAAGGTGTGGCCCTCACTACCACATGTAGTGCAGAACTTTCTTGTCTTTTACTGGACATGCTTTGGTGGTGTGAAGATAAGAATAGCAGTTCCAGCAATGTTGGATTTAGTGGTATCTCTCTGCTTCTATATAGGTGGGACTGATGTAGTAGTAGTAAATAGCAAGACCTTCGTTCAGAGCAGTGGCAGCCATGTTCACGTCGGTGAAGGTGACCTTGAGCATAGACGATGCATTCGGGATTTTGGTAATGCTATCAACAGTAGCCCAAGTATTTTGCGTTTCAATGGATGACTTGAGTTCAGCAATTGATTGAGAAGTCAGAATCTTGTCCAGTTTTTTTAGGAATACTGATTTTCTTGCCCTGAGGGCAGGAGAGGATGTAACAGTAAATCCTTGAGCAGTAAGAGTAGTGGTGGCTTCTGTGGTGAGTAACTTCTCTGCTTCAGCATCATCGTGACATACAACAATGAATGCTTCTTTCAGTGACAAAATAGCATTGAATTTCACTTGCAATGCTTTCTGCACAACAGTGGCAAGAGCAAGCTTCGTTGAATCATCAACGGTACCACTTTTTGGCTTGATCTTTACAAGATTTGCGTAGCCCATCGTGCAATTCAAGGCGAAGACGACGCTGGTAAAGGTTCCCCTTCCCAACGGGGATCGTAGGGAGACAGAGTAAGTAAGGAGAGCTGCTATGACCTGCCAGGGCGAGAGTCAAAAGCAGAATGAATCTGTGTTGAATTTCTGTGTGTGTCTGTCTAAGTCAGCAACAGAACTAGGCATTAAAAAACAATAAAAAGTAAAATACACACATGGTACACTTACTACTTACCTTTAAATATTTGTCTTAACCCTTTGAGGATCCGTCCTGTAGTTCTACGGCTTTGAAGCCAGGGTCCAAGCCATAGTTCTACGCCATGAGCTCAGCTCACCCAAATAAGCTGTGAGCAGTAAATTTGGGCCTAGATATGAGGGAATGCATTTATGTGGTAAGTGTACACCACATAAAATAAATCCTGCAGCACACAGTGCATAATGAGAAAAAAAAAAAAAGACTGTATTTTTGGATTAAAACACCGACTTTGCAGTGTTTTTCGTATGTTTGTTACAGTTGTATTCGAGGTTTCTTGGTCTCACTTGATAGAATGGAAGATATTTTACAGAAATAGAGATGATTTTGATTGGTTTTAGTATTGAAAATGGCTTCAAACTGAGCTCAAAGTAGCAGATACGTTCAATTTTTGCAGATGTTCAAGAGTCAACAAATATCAAGCATCCAATACACGTAAGCTGGTGGGTCTAATGTGTGTTCATGAATGCGCTGATATTATATATACAATTATTACAATATTGCCTAACAGTACATCTTCTATTTTTTGGTGTGAATAAAAATTCATTATGTGAATAAAAAATCAAAATGGAATTCATTTGTAAAGCCTGGAAACATAACTAATAAACAGAGGAAATGTTATTTTAGTGCCAGGAATGCATGCCTTGTTCATTCTAGACCCTATTTTGAAAATGGAATATTTTGAACTTTGTGTGAAATTGGCCAATTACCAATTTCCGATCACTTTAATTCGCAAGACTGTAATTTCGTCAATTTTCCATCAAATTTCGTACTTTTTGTTTTATTACCTTCAGAAAAAGATTCTCTACCTTTTCATAAGAAAAAATAACAAAAATTTTCTTTCAAAAATTCTTGGACCCAGTGGACAAGTTTCAGATCAAAGGTCTGGACCCTGAAAGGGTTAATGAAGGGTGAGAGACGAGTACAGCCTTCTCCTCACTTAATGATGGAGTTCTGTTCCTAAGACTACGTCAGTAAACGAATTCGTTGCTAAGTGAGGAACATACTTTAATGGTTGTGGGTTTGTGTTAACCATCTTTGATATTATTTTAATGTCACCTTTGTGCCATTTATAACCTTTCTGGTATATTTTTAAATGTTTACACAGTAGTGTACTGTATAATGTAAGTAATAAACAGAATAGAGGAAATCGGCTCTAATTTACATTATTTAGGTATGCATCCAGATCAGAGAGCCCATCATAAGTCCAAGTCATTGGTAAACAAGTACGTCGCTAGGTGAGGAGAGGCTGTATTTGTTGTAGAAAGTCAGGTGTAGTAGCTCACCACCTACCACACCTACACCAAATATATGACTTAAGTTTATAGTGCCCCAGAGCAATTATTACTTTATTTTTTTTTCAACAAGTCAGCTGTCTCCCACCGAGGCAGGGTGACCCAAAAAGAAAGAAAATCCCCAAAAAGAAAATACTTTCATCATTCAACACTTTCACCTCACTCATACATAATCACTGTCTTTGCAGAGGCACCCAGATACAACAGTTCAGAAGCATATATAAAGATATACAGTAGACCGTCATTTAATACAGTTTTGTCTTGCACATTTTGGTTATAGCATGATTGAAGAATTGAGGCATATTTTTGTTTAACACACTGTAAAATTAATTTAACACGGTCGCCCGGTTACACCACTGAGTCAACGGGGAAGACCTATTGCCATCTCCTGCCACCCCCACCCCACCACCATTCTGACTTGACTGACCGACTTACTGACTTGACTGACTTGTCTGAATGACTTAGTGAATAACTTACTGACTTGACTGACTGACTTGACTGACTGACCTGACTGACTTACTGACTTAACTGAATGACTTACTGACTTGTCTGAATGACTTAGTGAATAACTTACTGACTTGACTGACTGACTGACTGACTGACTGACCTGACTGACTGACCTAACTGACTTGATTGGCTTACTGAATGACTTAAAGTTAGACTTTTTCACTGAAGAGGACCCTGAAACTGTGTCTAGAGCAGCTGATGCCTTACCGTCAGTTGTACAATGTACTGCAGGGTAAAATAGAACAGAAATCCATTACAGAATTTATGCACACTCCAGTACAACCATCAACTTCAGTACCAGAACCTCTACCATCCACCTCAGCCCAGTAGGACCACAACATAACTCTCCACTCTCTTCACAATCATCAACAAACACCAACACCCATAATTTAAGGTAAGAAATACTATTTTTTTGTTGCATTTGTAGTCTTAAGCAGTAAAAACAACATAATGCATCACAACAATGAACTACAATTACATATTCCTTTTATTCTTATAAGATCTGAAGGCCTAAAAAAAAGTTGTCTGGCTTTTTGGGGGCTCCCAGGAATGTAACCCTATTTTACCCATAAGTTCTTCAGTCTGTCTAACACAGCTTTGTTTAACACAGTGTTTTCAGGAACCTAACTACCGTGCTAGACGACTGTCTACTGTATAACATATCCCTCCAAATCGCCAATATCCCAAACCCCTCCTTTAAAGTGCAGGCATTGTACTTCCCATTTCCAGCACTCAAGTCCGCTATATAAAAATAACCAATTTCCCTGAATCCCTTCACTAAATACTACCCTGCTCACGCTCCAACAGCTTGTCGGGTCCCAAAAACCATTTGTCTCCAGTCACTCCTATCTAACACATTCACACACGCTTGTTGGAAGTCCAAGCCCCTCGCCCACAAAACCTCCTTTACCCCCTCCCTCCAACCTTTTCGTGGATGACCCCTACCCAGCCTTCCTTTCCCTACAGATTTATGTGCTCTTCATGTCATTCTACTTTGATCCATTCTCTCCAAATGACCAAACTACCTTAACAACCGCTTTCAGCCCTCTGACTAATACTTTTACTAACTCCACACCTTCTCCTAATTTCCACACTCCGAATTCTCTGCATAATATTTACACCTTACATTGTTCTTAGACAGGACATCTCCACTGCCTCCAACCGCCTCCTCGCTGCAGCATTTACAACTCAAGCTTCACACCCATATAAGAGTGTTGGTATCACTATATTTTCATACACTCCCTTCTTTGCCTTCATAGATAAATTTTTTTGTGTCTACATATACCTCAATGCACAACTCACCTTTCTTCCTTCATCAATTCTATGGTTAACCTCATTCTTCATAAACCCATCCACTGGCACTTCAACTCCCAAATATCTGAAAACATTCACTTCCTCCATGCTCCTTCTCTCCAATGTGATTTCCAATTTTTTTTATCTAAATCATCTGATACCCTCATCACCTTACTCTTACTTATGTTCACTTTCAACTTTCTACCTTTACACGCCCTCCCAAACTCGTCCACTAACCTTTGCAACTTTTCTTAACCCTTTGAGGGTCGACAGGCCCTCTCCGAAACTCGTTCTCAGGGCCGGCCAAATTTCAAAAAAAAAAAAAAATTATTTTTTCTTATGAAAAAATAGTTTTTTTTTTCTAAACATTATAGGATAAACAAAAAAAATTTACCATCAATACTTACGGAGATATGGATGCATGAAGTTTGCAGAAAATGAGCCGCGTATGGCAACAGCGGCAACTGCCGCTCACCCGGTAAACTTTAGTTTATTTGTATTTGAAGGTTTGTGTTTTTTTCACTATTTTATTTTTTCACATAACTTATGTGGCCTATAAGACCAAAGTAAGGTGCAATGTACATTTTATACACTCGTTGTAACAAAAAACAATAAGCACCAAACAAAATTTAAATCAATATATTTTTTACAAAACTTGTTTACAAAAACAAACAATACAAAACATTGTTTTATTATTATTGTTCTATAATATATATACCAATATACAGTCACTGAACATATTCCTATTAGTTCTGCAGCTTGTGGAACTCTGAAACATGGTGTCATACACAATGGGGGTTTTATCTTTCTCCCTCATTCTATCTCTTTCAATCTGTCTCTCTCTTTCTATCTGTCTGTCTACCTCTGTCTCACAGGTACACATAAATACAAGTATACATATATAAATTACCTAGGATAACCCAAGAAATCAAAGTGCTATACTCTGCTTGAAGATGTGAGTAAAAGTGATGACACAGTCTTGTGGCTCTCTGAGACAGAAGCTAGACGGGTAGACAGATAGACAGGAGCTTGACAGACAGACAAATAGCAGACAGAAATGTTAGTGTACCAGTACCAGTGTACTAGTGTTCCACCCTCCTCCTCCTCTTCTTCCTCTTCCTCCCCTTCCCCAAATCTTCCTCCTCTTTCCCCCTACTCTTCCTCAAAACTCTTCCTCTTCCTCCTACTCTTCCTCTTCCTCCTCCTCCTCTTCCTCCTCCTCCTCTTCCCTTTCCCCTTCCTCCTACTCTTCCTCTTCCTCCTACTCTTCCTCCTTCTCTTCTTTCCTCTCCCCCTAATCTTCCTCCTACTATTCCTCTTCCTCCTCCTCTTCCTCTTTTTCTCTTCTCCTACTCTTCCTCTTCCTCCTCCTCCTCTTCCTCCTCCTCCTCTTCTTTTCCCCTTCCCCTACTCTTCCTCCTTCTCCTTCTCCTCCATTGTGTAAATTACCAGGAGTCGGCAGCTGTCAAAATGGGCATATTGTCTCATTACTCACTCCCCCCTCCGGCCTGTCAAACAATGGGGTCGGATGCTGCTTCCCTTCCTCCATTCTATCTAATTTTCTTTCTCCCTCATTCTATCTGTCTTTTTTTCTCTGTCTCACGGTACACATAAATACAAGTATACATAGTATAAATTACTAGGGTAACCCAAGAAACCCAGACAAAGTGCTATACTCGCTTGAAGATGTGAGTAAAAAGTGATGACACAGTCTTGTGGCTTTTCGAGACAGAGAGCTAGATGGATAGACAGGGAGCTTTAAAAGACGGCAAATAGACAGACGAAATGTTAGTATACCAGCAAAAACAAAGGGAGGGAGATGTTTATCTCATCTTTTGGCATCAGCTCTACCCTCCCTTTACCCCCCATCAAACGTCAGCACTTATCAGATGTTATCTCCCCTTATCTTGTTTCTGTCATGGGTGAACATTTATTATTACATATTATTATTTATTATTATTACCTA